CACTGGATCAACTATGAGATCGAAACAGTGTGTAAGTACTAGCCAACAAGGCGCTAGATTATCCGCACCGACTCAAAGCTGATATACTTCCATTTCACTCGGCGACTACGCAATACACGCTCATCTACAAGGGTAAACGCTATGGGACTATTACTGTGGAATATGTGTAAGGCTTCTCATCGCTTTTAGGTATTCGTCACTTTTGAGGGACCACTCTAGTTAGGTTTAGATTTCATTAACCGTTCTTCGGAATTATGGGTATGGTATTATTATATCTCTTCTTAGTAGCTGTTCGCCAAACCACGTGTAGTCATGCTCTTAAATCTCAGTGCCAAATACATCTATTTTATTTAGAAGACAACCATAGAGACTCAAAAGATGTTGGGTAACAGCCTTTGTCGTACAATATATTGGTGAGCCTAAAGTTCAATTCAGATAAGAATTGCCTTTTACGACTGGTTTCGAAAGATAGTTCCAATCTTGTCCACACCTCGCCTTGATGAGACATGTCAGATAAACATAATCCGTAAGAATTGACAGATCAAAGCCACTATTGATATTCCATGGACGAATATTAAATACTAAAATGACATGGCTTTATAAACAAATGAATACCATATCAGGAGAACGGCATCGAACACAAAACCGAATGCACCAGACTGCAACCGAGAAACTGGAACATACCCTTTTAACAGTAAAATTGTGTTCAAAACCCCCAACTCTCGCCCTTGTCATGCGAGACCTGGTTTACAGTCGATTATGTACAGATCATATACACACAAAGTCTTAGACACGGAGATCTCATGGCCCCATTCGACTCTCAAGAGCCAGCCAAGCTCCGGTTGGTTAGCTGGTCTTGGGGCGGGCCAGAAAGAATCAGCACACCCCCGCCTTCTTATGCTGGCGTCGAGACACCTGCTTTCACCCTCCAAGGATTTGTGTAGATCCTCCCTCCCCAACAGACATTAATGGCTCGTAATAACAATCCTACCAGCTTCGGCATTCGCTACAACCAAGCACCAAACAGCCGGCAAACCGAGGTCAACTCTCGCCGTCCGCCACAGCCAATCCTCCAAGACGAGCACCGAGAATGCGCAGTCTGCACGGACACCAAACTGACCTCCTCCTTCCCTCTAATCGCCGCCACCCGCTCCTACAAACACCTCATCGACCGCATCTGCAGCACCTGCTTAGCTCAGTCAATCCACCAAGACCTCGGCAGCCGAAGCTGGGACCAAGGCATCCGATGTCCAGAAGAGAACTACGGCATCGTGCTAGACTACGACGACGTCGAGCGATAGGCTGACAAGGAAACCCTAACGAAATACACGACCACCGCTTTCAAGCACGCAGTCAACCAATTCCACGGTCTTGACCTGCCGCCAGACCACCCAGCCAACAAGGACAAGACTCATCAGTTCTACTGGTGTCCCGTCGCCGAATGTAACTCGGGACAGATCCACGATGCCACCAGGAAAAAAACCGAGATGATGATCTGTCACAAGTGCGGATGGAGGTTTTGCGGACGTCACGGGGGTATCAAGTGGCACGAGGGGATGAACTGTGCAGAGTGGGATGCCGCCGAGCGCGAGAGGGAAAAAATCAGAAAGCGGACTCGAGATGAAGAAGGGAAGAGCGAGCGGGCGGTGAAGAAGCTGGCCAAGAGCTGCCCCGGGAATGGATGTGGGACCCCCACTGTGAAGAATGGAGGATGATATGATATCTTGTTGTTTTTCTCTTGTGTTGCTTTGACTTGCTTGCTGTGGCTAACTTGCACCCCTGTTATCCTTCTTGGCTTGTTTTATAATCTTGGTGCTTGTTCCTTGCTCCGAACGTGTTGCTTCAAGAACGCTCTGGTTTATAGTTTGGCCGTTTTATTCTGTTTCTTTTATATATTCCTTGGTTTATTGTGTTTTTATTTTATTTTCTTGGTTTTCCATATTATCTTTGCTTTAATTAGCTGAAGTAGGACACTGACAATCTGTTACCCGCGTCTTGCATTACTTTACTGACCAAAGGCCTGTGCTCAGGCACAAAGTGTCGAATGCATTGGTGTTGGAAGTGTGGAAAAGAAGGCTGGGACGGGTATCACTCAAGTGGTAGATGCTTGAAACCCGGGAGCAATCGGAGGGATGTCGATGACTTCAATCCTAATAACTGGATTTAGAGGGAGAGAGAGGGAACAGAAAATACCTATGCATGTAAAAAAATTGAATTCAGGGGTTTGTTTTGGTGGATTTTGAGGGCTCGGTGGCCCAACAACGGATAAGGACCCACTTCATTAATTCTGCCCCACCAAATGCAGCCCGCCTCGTCTACAAAAACCTTTTTTGCTGCAAGCAAATTTTTGACCTTTCCCATCCTTCTCCCACCATCGAGCTTTCTCTTTCTGCATTTTGGCCACAAAAACGCGCGCGGCGCTCGACCACCATGTCCTCGTTCGCTGCGGATTGATATCCAACCATGCTTGCGTCTTAGCTCAGCGCTCGCTTATTCACTCTTTTACTCTACTCAAAATGCGCTTGTTCTTGGTTCGACACGGGGAGACGGTGGACAACGTCGCTGGGGTTTAGTATGCCATGATCGCTGCATTCCACAACAGTCTTTCATCATCTAACCCCCGCTCAGCGCAGGTGTTCGCGACTCCCCTTTGACGGTCCACGGCGTCCTGCAGGCGCGACGACTTGCAACTCATTTGGCGGAACGACTGAAGATCACCCACATCTTCTCCTCGGATCTTCAGAGAGCGGTGCAAACAGCGCAAGCGGTCGTCGATGGACAGTCAAAGCCGAACAAGGATAGCGACGAGCCGGCGCTCCATCTCGCGCAGCTTCCTGTCCTGCGAGAGCGAGATTTTGGATCTGCCGAGGGAAAGCGATTCGGGGCACCCCACGCCGACGCCGAAACACACGAGCAGATGCGGGCGCGAGCCGCGCGCTTTGTTCAGGGTCATTTGGTGCCGCTGCTAGAGGGATCCGGAGGGTCTGGGGATGGAGAGCCGGTTGTCGTTGTGGTCGCTCATGGGTTGATACTCAACTCGCTCTTTCGAGTCTTGTCGGCCAGGTTTGGCGCTTCGGTCGGCAACTCGGATAGGCGTTTGGAACCCTCAGCAGCTTGGAGCAATACCGGTTATCTCGAGGCTGTTGTCAAACCTGACGCGCCAGAGGGAGATATTGCTGAGGCATCCGGTGATAGGAAGCCGCAGCAACCACGGACTTCCATGTCTGTGGTGGGGGTTAATGTACTGCGACACTTGGAGGGTCTGAAGAAGACTCGCGGTGGTATCGGCAGTGCACAGTTTGACAAGAGGCAGAGGACAATGGATTCGTTCTTTGGGCCTGCCTCGAAGAAGCCGAGGGTTGAGAAGGAGTCTTGACTCGGGTCTCCCTCGGCCACTCAACCAATGGTATGTGCTTTTCTTTTTCTATTACAAAACACCATCACACAACATCATGATGAGGAAACGACGTTCACAGACCTGTACCGAAAGTATACATGTGGATAAAAATGTCCAACCGCTATCTGAGATGTTTACCCATTACATTCATTTGTTGGATTTTGTATGGGATTTGCAGTTGCTAACTGTTTATAGATTAGGTGCTTCAGTTCTTCAACATCAGCCGTGAGATTTCATGCATCAAATAGCCATTAATAATAAAAATTTTCTGTGACCTTCATTTCCTTAATGCCTTTGTGATATTTGTGTGCAATTCATGTCTCCTCGTCCCCTTCAATATCATCATCATCATCAAAATCTCCTCCATCAAGGTCAGAAGGTAACCTAGAAGGGAACCATCCGTACTCTGCAAAATCAACCATCAACTCGCCCAATGCGCCCGTCGTGACTGTCACTCCTTCGAGTTGTAATGCAGCCGCCTGGTTTCGTGCGCCAGAAGGTTGTGATCTTTTGTCAACTTTGTCAGACTTCAATATCTTAGTATCGTTATGATGGTTGGAGACAATCAATTACCTAGGAGAAATAACACCCTTTGCATTTATGACTCTCTGCCAGGGTACGGTATCGTGATTGAATCTCGCTGCGTACTCTTCACTTTGTTGGTCCGGGGTGTCGTTTGTTAGAGTTGTTGAAGAAGGTGATGCCGGGAGGTGTTTGAGACAGACGCCTACTTGGCGGGGTCGTTGTGCTTTGTTTTTTGGGAGGGGGGTTAGGATAATATTTAAATGAGTGATGAGATGAGTAAGTGATAAAAGTCTTACGAGTCCCGACTAGTTTAGCAATGTGTCCGTAGGTGGTTACCTTGCCCGGCGGGATCTGTTGGACGGCCGAGTAGACTGCGTGAAAGAAGGACTGGGCTTCTGGTGTGCGGGGCATTTTTATTATTATTATTTGCGGGGGGGTGTTTTTGGATGATGATGATGATGAGGATGAGGATGTCGTGAGGGAAGTGGCTTGAAAACGAGCGTGTTTGAGTTGGCCGGGTTGAACTGATGGCGGTTGGCGATAGGTGATGTTGACAGCAGTGATGGACTTGAATTGCCCCGCTCGCACTTTGAGCATGTGCCAAGATCTGATAAGCTCACCTCACCCTGATCAAAATCCACCGAGCGCTTTTTGGAGCAAATAAGATGAGTATCGAATTCTGATGCTAGATGTGTGGCTTGGTTGCCGAGGCCACAAAGAAGCATAGCGCAAGCCTTCAAGGCCCGGAACTGAACAAGGTTTGGACTGGCCGGTCAAGAGTGGGGGTTTCACGGTGAAAGTAATGATTTCGATCCAATGCGCGTTTGGTTGTCTCGTCCTGTGAGAGTTGATTGGATAATCCGAAAGGGTTCTGATTGATCAGAGTTGCTAAAATTGCGCGTTAGGGACGATGATGTGTTTGGAAGTCGATGTCACCAATTTCATTGCACAGATGGTACGCTCAGAAAAAAGAGAAAGTTGAACACAAAACCTAATATGAAGTAGATTGCGAACTCTTTTGTCAATGTTGAGAAAAAGCAATTCAAGGGGAACAAGACGCAAAAAGATATTTAATGACTGGATACACCCGGGATCGAACCGGGGACCTTTCACATTGGCATTCAACATGCGAAGCGAAAATCATACCACTAGACCATGCACCCTTACTTCACTTGTTGGAATATTGTTTCGTGTTGCAAGGTCATATCAATACTTCCGTTTTGCTGGGTAATTTTGGGTGATGAAGAGATGTCCACCAGGGATGAGAACTTCCCATATCAGGGGTCGTTCTAGCTGGGCCGTTTTCTTTGGTACGCTTTTATTGCATTCTCTTTTCTCCTATGTTATTAGGACCGTGAAGCCATAATCTGGGGAGGGATATGGATTGTAAAGAATAGTGCAGCTGTGATTGGGAATAATGGTGGATATTTACTGGATTTTCTTGTTCTGCTGGCATTTGTCTGTGTACACGCCGTGATCCTTTCCTGTCGCACCTCAAATTCAACATTTAGGGATAGGCATGGATCATCCCAAAATGCCTATCACTTGTCAGCTTTGTAACATTTTACTCCTCTCTCCAAATGAAGGTCAGAGTTTCGTCAATGAACTATCTAGGAACTTTCCAACAAACTTTGAGCTTCGTCCGCTGGTACAAGAGTTTCACTCTGTTGACGTAATGTTAGTTAAGAACTATCTATCTATTTACTATCTAGGGTATTTCTTTTCCTCCTCCATGTGAACGCCTTATGCCATAACGAATTGCAACCCAAAGTTCTACATAAACAAGGAGGTTTGCCCATGTGCGCCCGCTAGTATAACCCCAGTGACCCGAAATCTCCCTCAAAAAACATTCTCATATTTTCCATCCTCATGGGATCCCCTATCTTTATTCTTCCGTCAGCAACTTCATGTCTGAACGTTATATAACTCGCAGTTGAGCTTACCCCCGAGCCTTAGTCTTATTATGCCTGGACATCTGGTGCCGTCCGATGTTGTCCTTCCTCATCTCCTTACCACAATACGGGCATTTTTCCTTCTCTGAAGGGATGCCCTGTTCTTTGGCAAGTTTAGGATGGTTGCGCCACATGTGACGATGTAGCTCCCTTGTATCGGCACAATCCTGGAAGCACTCAGGACAGGTGAAGCGGTTGTTGGATGCCAGAACCTTCTCGCTGAGATTAGAGAAATTAGAGCTTGTAGGCAGCTTTGGTGGATGGAGGAAGCGTTAAAGGAATATAGGAACAATTGGCAGCAACTCACGAGGGGTCAGCCGGGGGGGGGGTATTGAAGTGAACCTGAGTTTGAGACTGAGGATCTAGGAAAAGGTCCAAGGTAATTATCTCATTGTCATAGACATGGTCATCTTGGAGGGAAGAGCTGATGTTGTAGGACGAACCATGCCCAGAGATGCCCATCCTGCATAGCTATGAGACAGTTGAAGGTTGGTCGAAGGTTGATAAGATCCATAGCTGTTCCCCCTCGTGGGTCTAAATAGACAGCCATGATGTCGAATATGTGTTGTAAGTGAGGCGGGGGAAGAGAGAGCACGGAGACCCAGGGAAAGGCTGATTGAAAGACAGACTCAGCCAATCCCATGCATTCTCTCTCGTGGGGGAGTTTGTGGCTTACCCATGCCGTGGGTCACCGTCTCGCGGCAACTGTGCCGCAAGCCACACAGCATCAACCACCCAATTAGGGGTAGCTGCCAAGTCATTGGGACACTTGTGCTTCAAACATCATGGGCAGTCCCCAATTCTGAGCAAAAAGTACTCGCAGTATCGCATGCAACCCCTGTTGGCCCCTTCTTGGCATTTGGCCTTTCATGAACAACAATCGTAAATAAGGCGTTTTATCCTCGGGCACTAGCCTTTTTACTCCATGGGCACTAAGTTGGATCCTCGGGCACTACCATTTTACTCCATGGGCACTAGCCCCCATGTTGGCCACCTTTGGTCTTGGTGCCTGGCCAAAGGTGCTGTAGTTGATCATCTTGCATTCTATCATTACCGTGACCACTACGGCTGAGCAAGATACGCCGTCGTCGACTATGGCGATGGCTTTAACGGCACCGCCTATAACTTCCAGAAGCGGCCGGGTTCTAGTGCCCACCGCTAAGAAGTTGCAGGGCAGTGGGCCTTCCATTCCAACCTTTCACTTACTTCGTACAATTAAATCACCTTTTAATAATTATTTCCAATACCTCAATCAATTGGAATCACATTAGGCCGCATTTGTATGCATGAACTGGGGGATCATCAAGAGGAATCGGAATCCAGACCAACCGCCAAGTCAGGTATAAAATCTACTTGAAAGTGATTCCCGAAGACTCTGGTTCGAAAGCCGAATTAGTTAACTAGCACCATCCATGTGCTGGACAACGGGACCAGAGTTTTGGCTTTTGATAACGCTCCACATTTAACCTCCAAGGACCCTCATGCTTTCCATCCCAGCAGGGGCCCCGTTGAAGGAGTAAAGGATGTTACCACTCATGGCTGTGGCTCTCTCACTTAAACTTTTGACATCGGATGGTAACTGTCTTCTATTGGCCATGGGTGTTTGTTAGCGGACTTAATAGCCACGAGATGACGCATTTGTTATTACGCTCGTGCAACTGCAGAAACAATTGCAGCTGAATGGCAGGGGTTTTGGAAGGGGTTACCGAAGTACATAGCCCCCACCACTTTGTTCCAGAAGGAGCGGGCCCTGTGCCGAAAGCCTGGATACGCCCCGCTTTCTCCTAGTGTATAGCGTACTAAACTAATTAATGCAGCGGAAAGCTCACTGCTAAATTTTGCCAACTCTGAACCTCTCAGAAGTGCCGGCTGATTAGGAGGGTGTGGCACCAGTTGGGGTGAAAGGTGTGGGACAGGTGGTTTGCATAGGCTAGTGGCATAAAAAATATTACTTCCTATATAAGTTCCTGACCCTGGTAAAATCCCGGTAAAATCCTTATTTTTTTTTTGCTTCATTGACCGTTTTTTACTTACCGGACATTTACGTTGTATAGAAAATGCCATCCCTACCCGCATCACGCTCTCTAATGCTCCCCAACTCAACGGCTACGCACGCACACGCTATTTGGTGAGGAGGAGGCTTCTATGGCCGGGTCTTGAGTACCAACAATGGTCTAGTTTCTGAACGGTGCCCATGGTGAGGCAGAGCAGACGACGGCGTATTGTGGGAGAATTTGTTTTCATGTTTCTTCACAAAAGCATAGGCAAGGTTTGCAGCTGTTTACGAAGCTTTGGATGCAAATAGTACCTTCACCTACACTTTCGGGCTGCCTTAAACGCGCTTGAGCCGCCGATGACTCAAAAGATCCTTTTCGGTGGCCACTATCTCCATCCATCAACAAGACACGGCTCCTTTCCCGAGGGTACGTTGTTGTGTTCTGCATACTTGGAGCGCATGGCAACCCGATGACGGCGCAGGGAGCTACGCCTTAAGCAATTCTTGCTATGCTGGGGCCTTGTGTAGAGCCGCGTTATACGCCGCCCGCTCTTACTGTCAGAAGTGCTCAAATTCGGACGATTGGAGCTGACTGTATAGACCGCCCCCACGTTTTGTGCCTGGTTCCGAGCTCTCCGGTTTTGGGCTCGGAGGGGGTGGGGCCTTAGGGGGGCCCGCGACCGGCCGTCTTGGCACCGGCTTCTTGACTGCGTCGGGGAGAGACTCCACATTTGATCCGCGACTAAACGTCGAGATCAAGCTAAAGTTTGGACTTCAATAACAGGTACTCATGATCTGGCAGATCGAACCAGTCCCGCTCAACTCGGTAAATTTATCGGATTTATTATTTTCACCAAGTTTAGCTTACGAGCACTTTGAGAATGAGGTTAAAGCTCCAAGTCGGCCATCTCTCCTGATTTTTGGGGCTGCCGGTTGACAAGACAACCAGTCAAATCGCATCAATTGGAAATATTTTCAATATTTATTCACTGACATGATACTGCGCACCTTCTCACTTTTGATGTTTAAGTCGGTGATGCCTCAAGACGTTATCCTTTCTGCCATAATATCCACACCCAGCAAAAGGGCATTTTTTCTTCTCGGAGGGGGTCTTGTTCTGCTCGGCAAACTCTGGATGTTTCGCCCACAAATGCCGGTGGAGTGCTCGAGTCTCGCTGCAAGGTTCGCCGCACTGCGAACACGTATATAACGGATTTGGGGGTCGTTTTGGTTGACTGGAATTTTGAAACAGACAAAAAGTTAGAAGGCTCTTTTGCAAACAAAATCAGGTGGAGTTTGGTAAACAAAGTCAGATAGTTCTTACGTTTTGTCAGGCTTCTGGACTCGTCCGGGCTCAGATTCGCAGTGGGTAAGAGCCGCCTCGGCCGTCTTGGCGCTCGGTTCCCACCCAGGTTCTGTATCGGCCCCACTTTTGCCGGAAACCGTGCTGGTGACAGTATTTGCTAGCGAATCCGTGGTATCAAAGATATCAGAATAACCTAAGGGTTCTGAAAACCAGTAGAGAGCATCACAAGGATCGACCAAGTACTGGTCATCCTGATCATGTTCACCAAAACTTGCCATGGCAGAAAAAAACAAGCTCGGGGAGGGTTGTGATGTTGATGGATGACTTGAGTGCCATCATGTTTGACACAGGGAGTGTTTTCATTTATACGCACTTCCCGTGTTCTCCGCCTCTTAATGAGGCGGATGGCGGCGCTTTTGCAGCTCTCAACTTCGACAAAATTTTCATGGCAGCTGGGCTGTTAACACAGGCGATGAGTATGTCAAGGGTTATGATTTTGTGACCCTGGTCGGTTTACTTGGGTTATGATTTTGTGATCCTGGTCGGTTTACTTGGGTTATGATTTTGTGACCCTGGGCTGTTAACACAGGCGATGAGTATGTCAAGGGTTATGATTTTGTGACCCTGGTCGGGTTACTTGGGTCATGATTTTGTGACCCTGGTCGGGTTACTTGGGTTATGATTTTGTGACCCTGGTCGGTTTACTTGATTCCCCGCCACAGCCAGAAGGAAAGTACGCGTGATGAGAAATCGCTTGTGCAAAATCACAAACAAAACCCTGAGGGTTTGCACAAGGAATACTTCATCACGCGTAGAAAGGTTAAAATCGGTACGTCCAGTTATACTCGGTACCACATGAGCAATCCAGGAAGCTTACTGCGTAGTTAATCGCCATTGCTGGAATTAGCC